GAAAGCGCTCGCCAGCTCGGCCATCAGCCCTAGCCCCGAGATTGGCTCACCACATGGCCCAACGGTGTCCCGTCTAAGGGATACGCTGGTTCAAAAACATGTGGCGTGTGCAACAGACTCTTTGTACCAGGGGTGGGAATCCACAAGCGCACAGATACAACACTGTCAAGGTAACAATATGTATCTCAACATGTAGAGCAACAAATCACAAACAGGCCGTGCGGTCCCGTAACAGATCACAAGCAAGCAATGTTGTCCCGTTCAAGCCAGGTGCAAGCAAAGGTGGAAGTGTCCTGGCCTCCTTAAACTACGTATCCTCCGCCTCCGCCTCCTCATCCTCCTCCTCCTCCTTCTCCATCTCTCCTCCATCTCTCCTCTTGCGTCTCCTCCTCCTCCTCCTCATCCTCCCCCTCCTCCTCCTCCTCCTCCTCCTCCTCCTCCTCCTCCTCCTCCTCCATCTCTGCCTCCTCCTCCTCCTCCTCCTCCTCCTCCTCCTCCTCCTCCGTCTCCTCCCCCATCTCTGCCGCCTCTTGCTCCTCCTCCTCCTCCTCCTCCTCCTCCTCCTCCTCCATCATTTTCCTCCTCCTCCTCCTCCTCCTGTCCTTCAAAACGCGCGGGCGGGCAGGAGAGGCGCTCCGAATCTGCTCCCCAGGGGGCAGGCAGCGGCGACGGCACGCGAGGCGCCACCTGAAACCGCGCAAACGTCGAGAACTTCTTGATGGAGGCCTCGTTGAGGGCCGAAACGTATGAAGATAAGGCAGGTTCGTGTCGTGCCGACTTCGGCGTTGGTTTCTGACGCCGCGGGGGTCGTCCAGCTTTGAGCGATCGGCCGCTTCCGAAACATCAGGTCGTTCAACGAGGGGCCGATTCTGAGCCACGGGCGGCATTCAACATTGAACGCCGGTCGACACGACGCGAACCTACCTTAAGGGGGAGGGGGGATAAGCAAGGGATGGGGGAGCGCGAGGGAGACAGGGGGAGGGGGAGTGCACGCAAGCAACATCGAATTGAGGAGCAGGAGCAGGAGCAGGAGCAGGAGCAGGAGGAGGAGGAGCAGGAGCAGGAGCAGGAGGAGGAGGAGGAGGAGCAGGAGTAGGTAGGAGCATGAGCAGGAGGATGAGGAGGAGGGGGAGGAGGAGAGCATCGAGGCGGCGGAGGAGGACGAGGCCGAGGATGCCTCAGAGGCCGGCCCCGACAGGTTGACAAACACCATCGAGTCTGAGAGCAGGCATAGCAGCCATTTTTCAACCTAACCTTAGGTCGGGCATGTCCCCCTACAGGGGAACTTTGAGCGAAAAACTAAAAAAAGTCAAAACAATGCACCACATCGATGCAAACATACTCAGAAAATCGTCCCCATACTAATTTTTGACTATCTTTGAATATTCCTCCTGTAGAGGGACGTGCCCGACTTAAGCCTAACCTCAGACTGGTGTGTGAACCCCCGTGAAAATCTTGTTGGCTGCTTGCTGGTTGGAGGTCGTAGGAGGCAAACCTTTGCGATCTGCTCATCAACTGCCAGCCGCAGTGCCCAAGCAAACGCGAGCACTCCTTCTTCGGAGTCCTGACAACATGCGAGGCAATGAAGCCACAATCAAGACAAACCGCATGACAATCAATCGTATGGGAACTACGGAATGCATGGTCGTTGATGGTACTCTTCCTGGGCGCCACCAAAAACCTTCTGGGATGGTAACGGGTGCACTCCAGGAGGATCAGGAGAAGAGGAGGAGGAGGAGGAGGAAGAGGAGGAGGAGGAGGGAGGACGACGGAGAGGAGAAGAGAGGAGAGAGGAGAGGAGAAGGAGGTGGAGGAGGCCATCAGCTCGAGGGGGAAGGAGGAGGATGAACGACGACGGACGACGGCGACAACGACAACAACGGGCGGACGGATGGACGCCGACGCCGACGCCGACGCCGATTGCCGCCGCCGCCGCCGCCGCCGACGACGCGACGTGGCCTCGGATATCTTCCCCGACAAGCTGCTGAGCATCATCGAGAGGATCACCGGAGGCCAGCCCCACACCTCGAGGCGGCCACGACCGGCAGTGACACTAGATGCCTCCTAGATGGGGTCGGAGTAGATGGGGTCGGTGGTTCGCGCCGCTTCGCCGATGCACCGGCGATGTATCGGCGATGCATCGGCGATGCATCGGCGATGCACTGGCGATGCAACGTCGACATCGGCGGTGCATCGGCGACGTCGACGTGGAGCAAGGCGGGCTCCACATTGAGCCGCATCCCCGATGCATCGGCGATGCGGCGCGATCCTCCGACCCCATCTACTTCGACACCATCTAGGAGACCTAGAGACACAGCCGGACCTGGGCCAGAACATCATCCCTCAAGAGCATGAGACCCTCCGTCGGCCCAAACATAACCTCCTCCAAGGGTGCCCTCCCCAGGATGCACAAACACATCCAACAAAGACGAAGAACCTTGGGGCACCCTCCCCGAACCGACCTGGATCATATACCTCGGTCCGACTGTGATCGAGAACCTCGTCCTCTGGGGGAAGGGGGAGGAAACTCGAGGATCGAGAAACTGTCCGTCACCTACGGCCTCTGGGGTCCCGCTCCGGGCCCTGGACCGTCAAGCCTCGTGCTGGGGCGAACAGCTTGCCAGGCTGGAGGACCCTGGGAGGGGTCTGGGAACAGCTTTTGAATGGTCCCCTCCTCCTCCTCCTCCTCCTCCTCCTCCTCCTCCTCCTACTCCTACTCCTCGTCCTCCTCCTCGTCCTCCTCCTCCTCCTCCTCCTGGACACTGGGCAGCAGAGGCGCGAGGACCAAGGAGCGCGATGTACTCCAGTTTTCTCGCCCCCTGTCGGGCCTCCAGGGAAGGCCCGTCGTCGCCGCGGCCGTGGCTCCCCTCGAGATCCTGGTCAAACCTCACCCGTGGGAGTCGATGTTGAGGCGCAGTTCGGCAGCGAGCGAGGGGGGGGAAAGCGAGAAGGACAAGGCCTTCTCAGAAGGTGGCGGGACTTCTCAGAAGCCCTCGCGCCTTCCGAGAATTTGTTTCTGTTTTCGGGGAAGGATTAGAAACCTTCTCAGAAGGCCGGGGGACTTCCGAACCTTCTGAGAAGGCCGTCTCCTTCTCACTCACCCCCTCGCTCGCCGCTGAGTGCTGGCCGAGGGGAGAAACAGGGGGTGGAAGACCAAGACATCTGGCGGCTCGAAGCACAACGCGCGCGGGACGTTTGTCCTCATCTTCAGCGACAGGGTGGCCGTTCCAGCCTCCAGGACCCTTACAGCACGACTCAATGTGAAAAAACGGACCTGGGGCCCTGGGGAGGAGAATGGACGGGGTCGAAAGGGCCAGGGACCACGTTGCGGAAACATTGAATCGCCGGAGGCCTGGACAGGAGGAGGACAGGGAGCAGGAGGAGGAGGAGGAGGAGGAAGAAGGGGATGAGGAGGAGGAGGAGGAAGAGGAGGAGGAGGAGGAGGAGGAAACGGAGTAGGAGATGAGGCCGAATCTGACTATCGCTGCTGCTTTAGTCGCGCTGAGCACCATTATCTCCCTTGTGTAACCACTTCTGTAGGCCGCCGCGAAGCAGAACGCTGCCAGGACCATGTAGACCGCTGTCAGCCCGGCCAAGAACAGGCGAAAAAGAGCCTGGCGAAGCGCGACCCTCAATGGTCAAAGAGCTCGATTCATCGCATGTGCATGCTGGAGGAAACCGTACATGCATGGGCGAAAGCGCTATTGCAGATGCGTGCGTTCACAGCTCGCGCTGCACGAATCCCACAAGCCCTTCAGGACGTGAGTGGTCTAGAGAGTTTCCTCTTCCATCTTCCCTCTTTCCCTTCGGGGAGGGGTTTATCCCTCCCCCTCCCCCTGGGTCTGGACCGGGGGGGGGCTGCGAGGCGTCCGAGTTTTTCCTGGCCTCGACGAGGAAACCCAAACCACTGAGGTTGCCAAGGTTTTGGCCACATGTTGGCCTCCTGGGGGGGGGTCTAACTGAATCCCACCAGCCCTCTGGGCGTCGCTGGTTTAGAGCGTTTCCTCTTCCACCCCTCCTTTCCTCCTCCACTGCTCCCTATTAATAAACACCCCCTCCCCCAGGCGACCGCGGGGCAACCCAGGTCCATGACGACCCCCTCACAATCCCTTGTGAAACATAATACAAACACACACTCTGCCTCCAAATTCGGAACATGCGCAGCCAAGCCGATGCGCCCCCCCCCACCCACCATCCTTGTCAAAAAACAAAGCGAGTACACTTGGCGGAGGCGGCGGCGGCTGCGGCGGCGGCTGCGGCTGTGGCTGCGGCGGCGGCGGCTGCGGCGGCTGCGGCGGCGGCGGCGGCGGCGGTGGCGGCGGTGGCGGCGGCGGCGGTGGCGGTAGCGGCAGCGGCTGCGGCGGCGGTGGCGGCGGCAGCGGCGGCGGCGGCGGCGACGGCGGCGGCAGCGGCGGCGGCGGATTGGCCCCCAGTAGCTACCCATCCAAAGACGACTGCTGAATATGCTGAGGCTCGGGCCAGACTCGGGTGCTACGTATGTGTTGGGAAGGCGGGTGGGAGTGAGCGAGACGGCTTGCGGGCGGGGGGGGGTCTTGACCCCTCCCCCTACCCCCTCCCCATGGACCTGGACAGGGGGTTTCGCGAGTCGTCGGAGCGTCCAAAACGGCCTCGTCGAGGAAGCCACAATCATTGGTTTTACCAAGTTGTTTGCCCCAATTTGGCCTCCTCAGGGGGGGACTGTAATTCGTAACCTCGCTTCTTGTGATCCATCTCACCCAAGATGGCCCAAAGATGACCCCCAAGGCTCCCAAGGGTGCCCCAAGAGTTCCCCAAGAGGTGGCCAGGAAGCCCCACGAGGCCCCCAGGATGCCCCCA